GAAGTGTCTGAGTACAAGAAAACAAAATTACAGGGTAGGAGCCTTAAAAAACATATCTCTGAAGTTTCCGTACATCTAAGCGGTAGGATCATCTCAGGTAGCTGAACACATGGATGAGGATGGAACCAGGGAAAAATCCATGGAGGAACTGACGTCTGAAGAATGTGTCGGAAGTCACGAGGTGGACAGGACTGTAGAAGGAGCTCTTTTAGACACACAGTGATGGACACCTGGACAAAGAGAGCTGGAGCTTAGAAAGCTGGAATCAACTCTATTCTTACCCAGGTAAACTCCAGGTGTTTCAACACATCACTTCAGGTCGAAGGAATATCTGTCTGGTCAATGCTTTCTCACCCTATAAACTTCAGCTTCTTTAAGAATTTCTTTCTTCTAGACGTTTTTCCCTTTTCCTATGGCCCAAGATACTTCCTAGACACTGAACCACTTCTTGTAAGAACTATAGATCTCGGGTCTCTTTGCCTCTCTTTTTCTTGAATTCTTCCCCTGTTACATGTTTTTATTGATGTAGAAACCAGAGAGGATAATTATTGAGTCTGAGCAAGAGATGGGATTTGGGTAATTTTAAAAGAGAAGAATTTATCAGTCCAATCTTAAGGAAAAGGGAAGAGATGAAAGATTAAGGTAATTCATCATCTTTACCAGTAGAGTCTTGCATAGGCTGCGGATTCTTGGCAAAGGTGTTAAAAATGAAATGAGGAACGTACCCCACTGAAGGTGTCAAGCACTGAAGAGGATATAGAGCAGCTAGGATCCTCAGGCATGGTTGATAGAAGTAAAAATTTTCCAACAACTTTGGGTACTCACGGGATCTAAATAATAAGAAAAAAATAGCATGTAAAAACACATATAAATAATGCATAGCCCCAAAACACAGGTATTAGGTTGTTCACAGTAGCACTACATTTCACAGTTCAAAATGGAACATTTTCCAAATTCCCATTAGCTATAGAATGGATAAATTGTTGTGTAACTGTCATGTAGCATACAGTACAGCAACGAGAATGCAGAATCTAACAGTGCAGGCAACAGTGTGACACGAATCGCATAACTTTATGCTGAATCCAACAAGATATACGAGCATTTACATTAGGATTCCACTTGCATGGCTAGAGTAGGCTACGGCAATTTATTCTCTTAGAACTTACAGGACTTTCTCTATAGTGATTATTCACCATGAGATAAGTTACTGTAAAACTTAAAAACTCAGAACAGCAATAATTCACCTCTTTAACTTATTCTGGAAGTCACAAGTCCAAGAACGTCTCAGTTGGGTGGTTCTGGCGTAGGATGTCTCATGATCTCATAGTCAAGATGTCATCTGAGGCTGCAGTCATCTGCAAGCTCGAGTGCCTGTTTACACCATAACAGATAATGTTCACAGGGCAAATAATGGGCAAGAGAGAGTGAGAAGACGGAGCCCGCACTGTTGTCTGAGCATGGCCCGCGCAGTGGACCTGTGTTCTGTTGGGGATGCAGCTGTGTGCACTGCCGGAGAAGAGTGCTGAGACTTCAGTGCCAGGGGATTAGGTTACGGGGAACTGTGCTGAGGGCTGCTTCTCACACCAGGTAAAACTTTACACTGACGGTTTCAAGAGGTTTGATGGTTATAAGAATTGATATCACAGTTTAAATAGTTAGGAATTCTCTCTGAGAAACACAAAATGTGAACAATGATTTTCAAGAGGCAATTTATTAATTCAATTGAACAATGATGCATCAGAGAGAAAAGAAGATCACAGAACACTACTGACACAGATGCAACTTGAAAAAATTAAATATTTATATTTATTAAATAATTATTATGAGTAAAACAAAGAGGAAAATGAGCTAAGAGAAATAATTTTTTTTTTGGTATAGGAAATTGAACTCAGGACCTTGTGCTTGCCAGGCAGGCATTTGTACCACTGAGCTATACCCCTGGCCCAAGAAAAGTGTTGAAAGATCAAAATCTTTATCTCATATTGTGACTGGATAAACTTCTGAAATATTTAAACTAAAAAATATTACTTATTATCATTAGCATGTGGTTTAGTTATACAAAGATTTACTTTTAATTAAGTTTCAGAGAAAAGAGCTTTTACATCCCTGGAGAGAAGGACAGCTGTATACCTGAGCTAAGTGATCAGTGTTTCCTTCATAGGAAAATATCCTCATCAGAGTGAAAGAAACCACAATCCCTGCTTCACGTAGATATGTCTTAAAGTACTTTCTGCCTGTTATTTTATTTCCTGCTGTTGGCAAATATTCCCGAAGCTGGAAATGTAGAAGCAGGATAGAATAGAAAGGTCGGAAGTGCTGCCCTTGCCAAACAGGTGATGCGTCATAAGTGATTGGAGTGAGTCAGTACTTTATGGTGCGTTATTTTGAAAGTACTGAGATCTTTTCCAGTCGTTGACTCGAATGGTACATTATTTGTGAGCTACAAAACATTTCGGTTACATAATATTGAGTCTCTGAATATTAAATAAATATGAATCACAACAATCAGTGTTTGTTAAAGATCGGAAATATCAGAGGATGTGAGGTAATTATGGAGTCATTTATATGCCTCATTCTTTCAGAGTTGCTCAATGTGATACAAAATGATGACTTAGCATTCTGTGAGCTTGCAAAGGCAAAATCTTCTTCAAGTAATTTTGAAGTGTAAAACTGTAATTAGAAATACTTCAAGTTTTATTGATGATAGAAAAGATACCTTGATGACATCACTTAAGACCATTACTTCTATTGAGCCTAAATTCTTTCCTGGCCTCTTCAATTTGATAATTATGTACTCTCACCTCCTCTCAATGCACGTAATAAATTTCGCAAGGATTAAGAAGGGATAAAGTACTTGTGGGTCATGACCAGCAAGCGGCTGCAGGCTTAGGAGAATTTGGCTCTGTGGGTCTGTTAACCTTGTAGTTAGAAAATTAGCATTAATTTCCCCTGAAGCACTGCAACTCAGAAGCCCCAAGGATTTTACTTATTAAAAGGAGGCAGTGCGGGGTTCAGGGTTTAGAGAACAGGCTCAATGGTCTCAGTCATCTGACCTTTGCTTATTAGAAATGTGACCTCAGTTTCCTCATCAGTGGAGTCAGGATACTAACAGTTCCTGCCTCATGGAGTCGATATAAAGATTAAATTAAACATGCATGTAGATTCTTAGCACAGTATCGACCTCAGTAAGAACTGTGTGAATGTTAGCTATCATTCGGTATAGTCTAAATACAATCAATATGAAAAGGTAGACTTCAAAAGATTTCAAAACTGACTTAGAATTTGGTATCAGTAGTAGACAAAATATTTTGTTTGCCATCAACAATGTATTGACAAAAAGACCTCCTTAGTTTAATAAATCTTCCCTTCTAAGTTCAGAAGAACTTATGATGCATGGCATTTCAATCGATTAACATGGATTTATCTAAGGTATACCTTTTTTTAAATCAGTGATTGTAAAGCATGAATGTATATTATGTGATCTCATTTTCTTGAAACCTAGATAGATTTTAGTTTCAAAACAGGTTTGTCAATTTGTTATTCACGCTAAACTACCATTAACTGGCTACTTAAATATATACACTTTGTATTTTCTGGAAAACATTATAAAGTTTACTTCTAGTTTGATCTAGGCAACCATATGTCCGTAGCATAAGTAAAGATACCCACAACTGTTCTTTATGCTAATGAAATGAGAAATGTATTACATATCAGCTTTAAATAGTCCATTGATGCTATTACAGTAAAAAAAAATTATAGTTTCCATCTGTACTTCAGATATTAAACCTTTGCTTGTGAAAGATTGTATTTTAATTGGAGCTAATATTATTTTATTAATAAAAGATCCTTAGAGGAGTTGAAATTAAATCAGGTTGCAATAATGAACAGGCTTTGCTGTATTTTCCTTAAAATACCTTAACTTTGTCACATTTTATCACATGGCAGTGAAAACTAGAGCTTCATATGACTTTATGTTTTTCTTTATGCCAAAATCTACACAGGAAGATTATGTAAAAGGTTTCACTACTGTATAGGTAATAATAGAAATTTGTTGGTCTCAGTAGAAGTATGATTGTATTGTATACTTTCAGTGAGGAGGATTATTAATAAAACTTTGCAAGCCACAGATCATTGCAGCTGTTGAGAATGTATCTTTTTGAACTTAGCTATGTGTTTTGCTTGAATAAAAGATGTCAAAAGGCCGGAAGCCATTCTGTCCTGTTATTCATAGTGGCAAGTTCGGTGAGTGATTTACTGTTCACCATCCCTATACTTATTCATTGTTCTGCCACTCTAGAACTAGTTTGCATATAACACTGTTAATTTGTTTTCATTTATATTTGTGATTATAGAAAAAAACCTTTCCAAAAGAACATGTAAAGAATATTTTATTGTTATTATAAGACAAAATTAGAAACTAAAACTAAATTATCTTCTGTTTAGCAACTAAAATATTTTCTTTTTTACTATGTTACAGTTCCAACTGTCTTCCATATCAATTCCTTCTTGTGACTTCTTGGGGTTTATTTTTTTGGGATTTTTTAAAATTTGTTTTAAAAATAAAAGAAGGAAAACATACTAACAAACAGACATCCATTTACAAAATAGCATAAGAACAATGCAAGCAATACTGAATTACAGACAAAGTGATAGGAAATTAGCAATGGTTGTTGTATTACACATTGATATCTTCAAAGTGGTTATATTGTATTGGATAAGAAGTGACTTTATGATCTTATGTTTGGTTAAAACAAGAGTGACATCAAAGAGAAGGATAATTTTTAAAATATTTCTACAGACATAAGTTTCATTGTCTTTGATGTCTTTCACTATACAGAGATCCAAGATATCCCTGTCAAAATGATTTGTATCTCTACATTAAGGCATGTTAAAAGTCTACTCATCAAATATTTATCTAAAATAGAATTCTACATTTTCTAGGGAGTATACAAATACAAAAAATATAAAGAAGACAATCACTTTGTCATTTATTTTAATAGTGATTCCTGAGTTTGTAACACAAGTGAATGTCGCCTTGGAAGCCTTGAGCGAGAACTCATTGAATGTGTTTGATGATAATCAGTTTGTGGACATCTCAAAGAAGATCTATGACACAATTCATGACATCAGATGCTCAGTCATGATGATTCGGGTAAGTTTGCTTTGCCTTTTCTTGAATTATTTCAACACTCTCTACTATCTGGATTGCCTGGACTGATTGTCAGTAAGGTTTTATTTCTATGCTGTGATGTCAAGTCTGAAATAGATTAGAACTTCGGAGACTTGTATGAATCCCCAAAGTCAGATCTATTGTTACAAGCTACATTTGTACTTCTGTTTTCAGTTATAACTTATTCAAATGAGCACATTAGCTATAGAATGTGCAGCAGTGATAAGATGCCATGTTTAGGCACCACAGAGCATGATCGGGAGCCAAAGAAAAATAATTAATTTTCTTTCTTTTCTCAGCAAATGGAAATGATTTTTCTTACTATTGTACTAGAATTGATAAGAAAATGTGTTTTACGAAAAGAGTATTTCTGAGGCCAAACTCTTTCACTGTAGATTGCAGAATCATAGAGCATTCTTTAAGAAATCCTAACTTGGAGCTTCAAAGCACAGCAAATGATTATTTGTCCCCATCTGGGAATTGTCTGTTTAAGGAAATGCATGCTATGTTCCCGGAAGTGTGTGATGTTTGCTGTGGTACTGCATGGGGACCAAGGTCATTGGTGTTTACTCAAATGTTAATGTAAGGGTTTTTGACTCTTTTCAGTTTGCATATGCTCACAGGATATGCAGATTACAATCATCTTGGGGGCTGGGTGCATGCATACAGTACAGCTTGATTCTAGTTTGAAGCCCGTTGCCCTCCATCCCTCATTTCTTCTTCCTTTTCTTTCTCATTTTATTATTAATTTTATCTCATGTTTATGACATAATATTTACATTCATTTAGCTTATTAGGTTCCTGCAGTCAGCATATCTTATTTTAGTTATTTCCCATTCACCTCCTCTTCTGCTTTTGTCCCTGTTCTTTGGACCTCTTCCCATTCTTTTTTTTTTTTTCAGTCCAGGCTGGCCTTGCACTCATGGCAATCCCCCCGGCTCAGCCTCCTGAATACTGGGATCACAGGTGTGAGCCACCACACCAGACTCAATTGTTAGCTAAACACAGCTCACTCATTCCGTCCCTGACCTCACTCCATGCACCCCAGCCCCACTCCCTAGCACTTAAGATGGAACCCTTGTCCCCTACTCATCCTTTAGTGTGCTGTTTGTACATTGTCTTACTTAAATAGGAGATACTACATGGTATTTAAGCTTATGTGTCTGATCTACTTCATTCAACATTATATTATCTAAATGCATCCATTTTCTTACAAAAATCTCAAATATGCCCTTCTTTAGAGCTGAGTAATATTCCATTATTTTGTTTTTTTTTTTTTTTTTTTTTGGTACTGGGAATCAAACTCAGTACGTTGTGCTTGCCAGGCAGGCATTTATGACACTGAGCTATACCCCCGGCCCTAATATTCCATTATGTATAGATACCACGTTTTCTTTATCCAATAGTGTATGGGTGGATGTACAGTTTGCATCCCAGATCATCTATTATGATTCATGCTGCTATAAACATCACTGTAGTATGATGTGTTCAGCTTTTGGTCCAGATACTTAGAAGGGGTATAGTAAGGTAATATGGAATTTCTAATTTCAGTTCTTTGAGGAATTTCCATACGGATTTCCACAATGGTTGCACTAGTTTCCATTCCCAGCAGCAATGTAGGAGTGTTCCTTTTTCACCACAGCCCTGCCAGCATTTGTTATTTGTTGATTTTCCGCTCATTGCCATTCTTCCTGGTGTAAGATGGAAATTTAGTATTGTTTAAATTGGCTAATGATCAGAGATATTACACATTTTTCCATCTATTTGCTGACCATTAGTGTTTCTGGTCATTACCCTTGCCCATTTCCTGATTGGGTCTTTTATTTTAGGTAAACTAAGCTTTTTTATGTAGTCTTTCTGAAGAATAGATGACAAGTTGTTTTCACATTTTGTAGTTTGTATCCTCACTCTCCTAATTGATTCCTTTGCTGTTCAGAAGCCTTTTAATTTGATGTAATCCCGTTTGTTGATTTTTGCTGTTATTTCTTACACAATTGCAGTTGTGCTCAGAAAATCCTTTCCTACACCTCTGACTTTGTTTTACCTATTTATCTTCCAGTATTTTCAATGTTTCTGTTTTGATGTTGCGATCTTAGATCCATTTTGATTTTAGTTTACTATATCATGAGAGATATGAGTCCAGATTAAATATTCTACAGAGACACATCCAGTTTTCACAGAAACCTTTGTTGAACAGACTATCTACCAACACATGCTTTTGGTCCCTTTGTCAAAAATGACAGCTGTGTGTGTCTGGACAGGTGTCTATGTCCTGCACTCTATTCCATGGGCCACAGGTGTGATTTTGTCCTAGTGTCATGCTGTTTTTATTATTGTGGGTTTGTAGTATAATTAGTTACTTATAAAACAAGTTAAGTGTTTCAGAAAATGAATATGTAAAGATAGGAAGATACTTCAACTTAAAACAGGTTCATCTGGAAATGGAACCTGAAGTGAGGGTTTGTAATTTCAGTACTTTTATTCAGGAACAGGGGAAAGTGAGACCAAGAGAAAAAAGAAACCAATAGGGCTTTGTAAAGAGTCAGGGCTTAATTCTGCTGTCAAACTATGAGGTGTGAGGTAGGATACACCTCAGAATTTTTTTTCAACCAAGAACAAAATCTGTGAATTTAATAATCTATTCATCTTTGATTAAATGCTGTCCTCACAGATGTTACCTGGGTCTCATGCTTAAAACCAGTGACACTCTGCTGGCCAAAGAGACCAAACTTTATTGTGGTGATAGGGTCACATTAGTAAGACTCATTGAGTGAAAATCGAAAGCACGAATACAGTTCAATTTGAAAGGATATGGGTGACGGTATCAGGCTTCAATTTCACAGTGGGACCACACTGAGAAGTTGGGCAACATGGGGCCTCTTGTGAACCTTGTAGAGAAATGGGCCAGCAAGCAATGGGAGCCTGGTGGGGCACATGGAAGGTATAAGAAAGGGCTAAAGGTGGCAAAGTATAGGATATAACATTTCAGGGCTTGAGAAAACCTGAACACAAACCAATTATAGAGAGAGAAACTCCAGGACTTATACAGATGGTGCCTGAAATACTGCAAATTTTACATCTGGGTCTTTGCATGAGCTGGCAGTATTTGGTGTCATCCTCTCCTGTGATGCTGGGCAGCTAGATTTAGCCAGAGCACCCAGTCAGCCACCTGGGTGTGAGCCTAAACAGCCAGTATGTGGTGTACTGCATTACTTGCTGCTCAGGAGGGTATGAGGATCACATTTAAGTTGGATGCATGAAATCCTTTCAACTTATGGTGAGTTTATTGGGAGTCATCGTATGATGCAGACTGTATGAAGGAACAGCCTACAAGTGTTTGCTCCTGTGGTTGGAAATTGGCCCTGCACTGATACTGCAACTGAACAGCAAATCAACATCACTAAATGTTTCCGTATCCTGGCCAAGGTATTTCTTCCTGACCTGTGTGGACTAGTGGGCTAGAAATAGCCCAAAACCAAAGGGTGGATGAGTCCAGGAAATGAATGCTAATAGTGTGAACAAGATACATGCACTTTAGGAACTGTAGTACGATCTACATTTTCACTGTCCCTGTGTGGCTATTTGAGAAGATACATCAGTGAAATTACAGACAGAGAAGATCCTGCATTTTTTCCTGCTAAAGCTGTTCAGGGATGTAAAAACTTGTAATCATTTTTAGTTAGATATTCTAGTACTTAACTTTTTCTCATTATAAGGATGACTTGTACATAGCAAATCAAATTATCTTGCCATTTTCCTATGTGTTCCTCATGTACCACCATCCTCCACAGGGCAGAAGAACAATTACTGTAATTATTAATAGCTTTGAGGGCAATAATCTTTCCCTTTACTCATTTCTTTTTCAAGGTAAATACTTCCATTTTGGTTAATTTTTTCTCATAGGAATATTCTAGTCTTTTGTGTTAATCACTAGTCCTTATTTAATTTTCAACAAACTTCAAATGAGATTACTATCAAGGCTTATTCTAATTAGGTCTTGCCTAATATCAAGTAAAATAGACTAACATCAGGTGAAGGAGATATTTATTTATTAGTGGATTGATATCTGATATCAAATAAAGTTCTCATGTGTTATTTTACTGCTATTATAGCTGTTCTTAGGTCGTTATTAGTCCTCCTGTTTACTCATGAGGGTTACTGAATTAAGCATGATTCTCTTTCATTTTCTCCTACTCCTGCTTATATATTTGTTTCCCTTTTCTATTTGATATGATTCTCCTTGGTCCAAAATTATAATTTCATGAAACGTTGTTGTGTTTCTACATCATTTTTGATATACTTGATCTTCTTGCTTTCCATTTTGGTCATGAACACACTGAAGTAGCTTCAAGTAGAAATGTGAGGTGTAGACTTTGTTCTTTTTTCTCCATTACTAATAAATTATTAATTCATACACTCTTGGCCCTGCATCTCATTGTAATCCCCAATAGAAAACTGCAGTTGAGGAACTCAGTGTTATGAGACCCTTAAGAATAGGAAGCTACATCCAACTGTGAACATGTGAGTGTATGATTCAAAAGAGCATTTTTGATTTTTGGAATAGATATATTTTTACCTTTAAATAATTTTATGCCCAAAAGGATAGAAACAGAGCTGCTGTGCTTGAAAGCATGGAAGTGAAGGTGGATGCCCATCATCTCTGTCCCTACATCCCAAGTTTCCTAGGCAACCAACAGGGACAAGGTCATTTATAGCCATTCCTTAGAGGATGATCTGTAACCTCTGGGATAGTTGCTAATTGGGTTATAAACATGAATCTAAAGTCTACTCAGGTGCAGGTAAATGAAAATCTACCATTTGTTTTTCTTAAAAACCATCCCTTTATCACAGAAGATAGCACAACTGAGCTGGTATAATCTTCTCTTCACAATGTCAAATTTAACTCAGACCAAAACTCTGGCCCTTGAACTGCAAAACATTTGTACTTTCTCAAGGCATCTAAAAAGTGTGAACATCAAGGC